CTGAACTGGAACCGCCTGAAACGGGAGTGGCGCTGGGCTCGGAGCTGCTGTCCTGCTGCAGAGCCGCTCGCAGAGCAGCTGAGCCCGTCCTGGAGCTGCTCCCACATCCCTGAGATCCAGCCCCTCAGTGCCAGCTGAGCCTAGGAAATCCCGGGCTTAAATATTCCCGAATAAACCCCGGGCTTTAATATTCCCTGATAAACCCCGGGCTTAAATATTCCCGAATAAACCCCGGGCCCAATTAATTACCCCCTTAGCCTAATTAATCACCCCCTCGGCCTAATTAATTACCCTCTCAGCCCAACTAATTACCCCCTCAGCCCAATTAATCTCCCCCTCAGCCTATTTAATCACCCATCAGCCCAATTAGTTACCCCCATCCTAATTAATTACCGCTACAGCCCAATTATTAACCCCCTCAGCCTAATTACTGTCTCAGCCCAATTCCTGACCTCCTCAGACAAATTAATTACACCACAGCCTCATTAGCCCCTCTGCCCAACTATTAACCCCCTCAGCCTAATTAATTACCCCTCAGCCTCATTAATTACCGCCTCTGCCCACTTATTACCTCCTCAGCCTAATTAATTACCCCCTCGACCCAATTAATCAGCGTCTCAGCCTAATTAACCACCCTCTCACACGGACAAGGACGGCCCCCCCAGACCCACCCTCACAGAATCCCCTCAGGAACAGCCTCCGCCTCTAGGCGTGCTGCATAATTACCGCCCCGGACCCATTAATTACCCCCCGGACCCGTTACCCCCAGATCCGTTAATTACCCCCCCCCCGGACCCGTTAATTACCCCCCCGGACCCGTTAATTACCCCCAGATGCGATATTTACCGGCTGAGGGTGCGACCGCCGTTTCCCGCTCCCCCTCCAGACCCGTGAGGCGGCGCGCGCCGGGGGCGGGACTTCCTCCGTTGCCTGGCAACGGCCAGACGCTCCGCGCGCCCCCCCTGCCTCCCTGTCGCGCTGATTGGGTGACACCGCCGGCCTAGCTCCGCCTTCTAGCCGTTCCACTTTGAATGCGAGCGCTGGCATTGGGTGAGAGCCGCGGGCGGGAAGGCGAGCCACGCCCCCTGAACAAAACCAGTGCGGGGGGGGGAGGGCGCGGGTGACTTGGCGCAGTGAGGGGAAAGCGGGCGCGGGGTCGGGACCCCCCAGGAGCTCCGCGACCTCTCGGGATCCCCCCGGCCCCGAACCGCGTTAAAGCTCCGCGGGCAGCGCGCAGCGACCCTTGCGTAACCCACCCGGCCCGGCCCCTCGTCCCCTGGCCGGTGCTGTGTAACCGGCTCTGCGGGCCGAGGAACCCGCGCCGCGCCCCGCTCAGAGGGAAGGAGATAAATGCGGGCCCTGGGAGCTGTGGGGTCGAGGCCGCTCCCCTCGCCCCTTCCCCGCCCTCCTGAGGGCCCCGGGTTGTGTCGTGTACCCCCTTCCCCGGGCAGAGACCCCCGGCCGGAGCCCGGACCCACCCAGCTGAGCCCCACGGGGGTGGTTTTGGGGGCTGTTTTCCTGCTGTGACCCCAAACCGGCATTTTCTTGCATCTCCAGCACCGTTTTTACGCCCCTGAACTGTTGAACGAGAGGAATAACCCGGGCTGGACCCGCCTCGGGGGTGGCCGTCGAGATTCCATGATTTTCCAGGGGAGGTTTGGGAGAAGCCGCCGGGCTCGGAGCGGACACGACGGGACACTTGGGCTCCTCCGGCGGCTTCCCGGTGGCTCCCGATCCCGACAGGGCTTGGGATCTGCTCCCCAACCTCTGCCCTGAGCCGAGCTCAGCCCCCCTGCCCCTGCTCCCAGCTCAGCTGGAGCCTCCCAGGGGGTGAAATGTGGGAATCGAGGAATGGGTGTAGTTATCCCATCCAGCTCTGCTCTGGAGCCGGGCTGGGAGAGTTGGAAATGTTCCTCTGGAGAAGAGAAGGCTCTAGGGAGACCTTGGAGCCCCTTCCAGGGCCTAAAGGGGCTCCAGGAGAGCTGGAGAGGGACTGGGGACAAGGGATGGAGGGACAGGACACAGGGAATGGCTTCACACTGCCAGAGATGGGATATTGGGAAGGAATTCCTGGCTGGGAGGGTGGGGAGGGGTTGGGATGGAATTCCCAGAGGATGCCCCATCCCTGGAAGTGTCTAAGGCCAGGTTGGAGCAGCCTGGGATAGTGGGAGGTGTCCCTGCCCAGAGCAGGGTGGGACTGGATGGGATTTGAGGTCCCTTCCCATCCAAACCAATCTGGGAAATCCGGAAACTGGGATGATTCCCACTGAAATCCTCTGACAGAGGGAGTCCTGTGTCAGGTCTCTGAGGAGCTCAGGGCTCCTACAGAGCTCCTGGATATCATCTTCTCTCCTACTCGGAGTGGTGAGGCCAGAGCAGAGCTTTGAACCTGCTCCTGCTTTTCCTCCTTCTCCTCCAACCCTTCTCCTCCAACCCTTCTCCTCCAAACTTCTCCAAAAGCAAGAGATTTGTGGTCAAAAGAGCTGAAGGTTTTTTTGGAGCCCCTTTTCTGACTGGAATTGTTCTTTGCAGGGGTTGAGTGTCCTGAAATTCCTCATTTGTTCAGGGTTCTGCTCAGAGTGTTGGGGCCAGAGCAGAGCTTTGAACCTCTTCCTGCTTTTTCTTCTTGTCCAGACTTGTCCAAACTCCTCAAAACTCCTTGTCCGAACTCCTCAAAACTCCCTGAAACTTGCCCAAAATCTTCAAAACTTTTCCAAGCTCGTCCAGACTCCTCGTCCAGACTCCTCGTCCAGACTCCTAGTCCAGACTCCTCCTCCAGACTCCTCCTCCAAACTCCTCCTCCAAAACTTGTCCAAACTCCCCCAAACTTGTCCAAACTTGTCTTACCTTGCCTTCCCTTTTCCTGGAAGGCACAGTTCTAATCCACTGCCTGTTCCCTGGGGAAGATCTGCTGCTCTGGATCCTCCTGGATCCCATGTATCTCCTTGGCTGATTCCTCCCTGCTCCAGGACGGATTTGCTGTTCCCTGTCCGTGGTGCTGACCCAGGGCAGGGCACCAGGAATGTCAGGATAACGGCCTGGTATGGGATTGGGGTCCCCAGCTTGGGTTTTTAGTCTCCAGTTTGGGGTTTTTAGTCCCCAGTTTGGGGTTTTTAGTCCCCAGTTTTGGGTTTTTAGTCCCCAGTTTGGGGTTTGTTGTCCCCAGTTTGGGGTTTGTTGTCCCCAGTTTGGGGTTTGCAGTCCCCAGTTTGGGGTATGCAGTCCCCAGTTTGGGGTTTTTAGTCCCCACTTTGGGTTTGCAGTCCCCAGTTTGGTTTTGTTGTTCCCAGTTTGGGGTTTTAGTCCCCAGTTTGGGTTTGTTGTCCCCAGTTTGGGGTTTTAGTCCCCAGTTTTAAGGCCCAGACTTTCCCTTCAAAAGCCCTGAGGGGGATGGACTTTAGTTCCCTGGGAGGGCTCCTTGGAGGTTCTCCTTGGAGGGCTTTGTGTGCCTGGATCTTCAGTGAGTCCTGAGAGTGCCTGGGACAGCAGGATCATGGAATTCCAGCCTGGCTTGGGTGGGAAGGGACCTTAAAGCTCATCCAGTCCCACCTTTCCATGGGCAGGGACACCTCCCACTATCCCAGGCTACTCCAAGTTCATCCAACCTGGCCTTGGACACTCCTAGGGATGGTGCAGCCTCTGGGAAATCCATCCCAGCCCTTCCCTACCCTCCCAGCCAAGAATTCCTTCCCTTTTGTGTCCCCTTTGTGTCCCTTTCATATCCCTTTTGTGTCCCATTTTGTCCCATTTGTGTCTCCTTTGTGTCCCTTTTGTGTCTCTTTCATGTCCCTTTTGTGTCTCTTTCATGTCCCCTTTGTGTCCCTTTCATGTCTCTTTTGTGTCCCGTTTGTGTCTCATTTAATATAATTTTTTTTATAAAATCATCTGAGTTTTTATATCTAAAGAATTGTGCTAAATCTGAATCCTTTCCCAGACTCCAAGAGCACAGAAATCTGTATACTAACATTTTCCACGACATCATGCTGCTGAGTGACACATCCCTTAAAAAAATGAGATGTTTAAAATGTTAATTATTATTTTACTTTATTGATGATTAAAAATTGTAATTGTATATTATTGATATATAAAGGATAATTATAACATTATTGCAATTATTATTATACCCTAACCCGGTACTCCAGGCTGTCATTCCCACTATCCCAGGCTGTCATTCCCAGTATTCCAGGCTGTCATTCCCGCCATCCCAGGCTGTCATTCCCGGTATTCCAGGTGTCATTCCCGGTAGTGCCGCTGGAGGAGCTGCTTCCCCTCACGGCCCCAGAAGGCGTGGGGTGGGCCAGGCCAGTACCCCCAGTATTCCTGCTATCCCAAGTGTCATTCCCGCTA